TCTGAGGGGGGCCTGGCAAATTTTTTTGATACGGATTATTTATTTTCATGCCTGTCAAGGACAGATTATTTATTTTCAAGATTATCGAGGACAGATTATTTATTTTCTTCTTTGTCTTACGGTACCTTGATCTAAAAGACTAATCATTTATATACCATAGGCGGATTCAGGATGGGGGGCGTGTATAACTTCGTTCAGGCAAGAGGTCTGGGGCCGCCTTAAGGCCCCCAGTGGGTCCTGGGCGAAGCACTGGTGGAGGCCAAGGGAGGGAAATTCCCCAAAAGCTCTTGGGTTTTCGGGTATTCTAAGAGTAAAACCAGGACAATTATAGTGGTATTGGTTATTATGTAGCAAAGTATGACATTGTTAATATTGGTCATATCATGCTTTGAATGAAGGGGGTCTAGGGGGCGAAGCCCCCTGAAGCTTGTGGGTTTTTGTGTATTTTAAGAGTAAAACCAGGCACAATTATCTAGGAATTGGTTAGTTATGTTCCAAAGTATGACATAATTGATACTAGTCATATCATACTTTGGATGAAGGGGGCCCAGGGGGCGAAGCCTCTTGGGTTTTTGTGTATTTTAAGAGTAAAATTAGGCACAAAAATATTGGTATTGTACTAAAGTATGGCAAGATTAATATAATTCATATCATACTTTGAAATTTTAGGGGAGGGGTGATACACATGTATGCCTTCCTTAAATCCGCCACTGTATACTTTGTAATTAATTTATCGGGAAGTATAATTCTTTGACAAGAAAATTTATCTTTTGTGGTGTTTAAGAATTTGCTTGTATTTAAAGTGATTCATCACATCTACTGAGTGCACATTGTCATGTTGATCAACTGACTACAAGTATCCAGTCTGGTAATCTGATTTTAAATATTATTTGGTTCTAAAATGGCGAGCGAAGCGAGCCAAAAAAAATGCTGAATTGAAGATTCTGAGGTTAAATTACACAGAAATAAAAAGGTGTTTTCACAATATTTAAATATCATAAGTCAAGGTCAGATTATTTATTTTCTTTGCAGAGGAGGACGGATTATTTATTTTCAACATTTTCAGGGACAGATTATTTATTTCCAAAATCTGCCAGCCCCCCCCCCCCAGAATCAAATGGTCGTCCCCTTACTAGAGCTATAAAAAATGAATTTTGAACATGAATGGGTCAAGTCTCCATTCTTCGTTAACGCTTAAATGATAGAAACGTTAATGTGAAATCTATTTCATTTGTCCAAAAAAATGGAATCTGAACCCATTCTATATGAAAATCAAAAATTTCTGAAAAAAAGCGATCGGTCTTGGACCAAACAATGCGCTATGGAGAGGGTTCGAATCATACAATGTACGCGAAGCTTTTTCTTTTTTGTTTTTACATAACTTAAAAACATTAGTAAAAAAAAATAAATTATTAACAAAATATTAAAACAATGAAATACAGAATTGATGTGTAAAAGATGATATAAACAATATAATTTTGAAACAAAACTTTTATAATTGAGAAATGTTTTTTCTCAGAGCGGGGGATTGTCCTCGCCTTGTACGCCTCCATTCTTTGTCCAATTTTGGGCACAGGCACCTGAAGTGGGAATAAACCCCACTATTTTAATGAAAAAAATGTAAGAGTGTAAAATATCTCCAAAAAAATGTCCCCGTCAAAACATCTTCGTTATACATGTATGCGAGCTTAGTTCTTTCCACGTTTAAGGCTAAAGAATGGCCTTATTACCGGTGTATATTATTCTTTAAACGTGAGAAAAGGTAAAATTTGCTTGCATAGAACGACATATAGATGTTTTTACGAAAGCCCAATGAGCTCATTTTCGTAGGTAAAAAAAAAATATTTTTTTCCGCGTTATAACACGAAACTTTCGCGAATAAACGCGTAACTTTCGCGATATAACGCGAAACTTTTGCGAATAAACGCGTAAAATTCGCCTTAAAACGCGAAACTTTCGCGATATAACGCGTAAACTTTCGCGAATAAACACGTAACTTTCGCGAATAAACGCGTAACATTCGCGTTATAACGCGAAACTTTCGCGAATAAACGCGTTACTTTCGCGATATAACGTGAAACTTTCGCGTTATTTCGAGAAAAAATATGATGCGAGAATAGGATAGATTAGTCATCAGAATATTTTATTTTATTTTAAAACCTTACTATTGAATTAATTAAATGAATTTTACTTTCTTGTACATGTTTTTCATTTGTTAAATTCTTTAGAATGATTATTTCTAAAGGAAAATCTCCACTTTACATTTTTTTCTAGCTGTTTTTTAATCAGTAACATTTACTACAACTGTACCACTAGTAAATTAAGCAATCAGTCATTTTGGACAAAAAATTATACACTATAGAAACATAACTTAAACATGAATGAACAATGTATAATTTCATTGTCTCCAATATTTTTATATTGGGTTATAGAGAAGTTTGTGGACTAGCCGTAAATAAAAACTATGAAGGTATACAGCAGAGTTTGTACACTTTGAATTGTCAATGTTTTCGTAAGCAATGGAATGACAACGTGGTGCAACCTCAAAATAGGATATCGAATTTCCACAGTGGATCCAACTGAGACAAATGAAAATGTGCTATCCAATTTTCACAAATGCGGTGAGACACAATTGACAAAATGAAATTTACCTCATTTTGTCAATTTTCTGAGATCTTGATCTCTATAAAATAAAGTTATTTCAATTTCTCTAGAGAGTGCATAAAAAAACGGAAAGGGGTGATTTTCCCCGAAATTAATAATCTGGAAGTTTAACTTTTGGAAAACTCGCATAAACTTTGAATTGGTTGAACAGCGTTGAGAAAGAAAAATTGTGACGGTAAAGATAAATTCAATAGCAAGAAAGCTTAAAATTTAACTTGTGATAGTCCAAGATCAAAATAGCCTTTTGCTTATCATTGTAATGAATAAAATTGATGACAAAATCAAAAGAACGTTGAGACTAAAGCAAATCTCTGGTTAAACAGAAAAAGTTTCGCGTTATAACCCGAAAGTTACGCGTTATATCGCGAAAGTTTCGCGTTATAACGCGGAATAAAATATTTTTCTTAACTACGAAATGAGCTCATTGGGCTTTCGTATGTTTTTGACGGAGACATTTAAAATTTTTTTTTTTGAGATATTATACACTCTTACATTTTTTTCATTAAAAAAGTGGGGTATTATCCACACTTCAGGTGCATGTGATTTTGGGCCCATGGGGGGGGGCAAAAAAGATGTAAGGATCGAATCACTGTCTAGTTAGTATAGCATGTCAGGGCATCAACGATAGTGGGAAGCCCGTCATGCATAAATTATCCCACTTTTCCCACAGGCAATCACCTTTTCCCAATTTGTGTATTCAAATATATTCACTAATATGTTACCGATAATGTAACTCTTTTGTCCCTATAACAGTATATATAATCCGTTTTTAAATATATCGTTTTCGACTGATACATACCAATTTATATAATGTAAGGAGGATCTAAACGATAGAACATATTTTGATCTTACATCGATGAACGTTTATAGGTAGCAAATTAACCATCATTATATATACATATTCCTGTTTTTTCACCATGTAGTTTTATAGAAGTTAAGAAATTATTCTCTTCAAATTTGTTTTAAACCGTGGGAGTTGCATTAATCATAGTCAAAACACTAAGCCAAAACTATGAGCAAACGTCAAAATAATTGCAACATAAACTTTTCTGGTGCAATGTTTTGCAAATACCGCGTCTTTCAAGATGTCAAATCTTTAAGCTCTAGATGTGCACAATCACCAAATTTTGAGGTAAAAAATAAGGATTTTATTGAAAATTGCTTTAAAAATGGAAAATGCTTGTCCAGTAACAGCTTTACGAGTAGTCCGATTTCAATAAAACTTGATGTGCATGCAAGTTGTGTGTTACGTTTTTACGACATAGCTGGTCAGATTTTACATAAGATTTTTATACGCCCGAACCGATAGATTCGGGGCGTATATTGTTTTTGTCCTGTCTGTCTGTTTATGTCTGTTGTCAAATTTAACCTTCGCCATAACTTTTGAACCGTGGGAGATAAAGACTTCATATTTGGATATGCATACTTCTTTAATTAAGTTCTTTCAAATGACACCAAGGTCATTTACCTTTGACCTTGACTGTGACCTTTATGCTAAAAATAGCTTTTTCGAACTTTTGCCATAACTTTTAAACAATATGAGATAGAGACTTCATATTAGGTAAGCATACTCCACTAATTAAGTTCTTTTAAGTGAAACCAAGGTCAATGGCCTTGTGACCTTGACTTTGACATATATGCTAATAATATTTTTTTCGAACTTGGTTGCCACCGGCCGGGCGCATAGTGTTTCACAAACACATCTTGTTTTTCCTTTAGTTTTAAATACCTTGTCAGATTGACAAATCTATCAAATAAAAGACAAAGATAACTGGTGTACATGTACATAAAAGTTATCTAATTCATCATGGAGAGATTTAAGACCCAGTGTTTTAACGTGTTTGAAAACGTAGCATTTTGTAACAAATATCTGATCTAGCCAATTTTCAAGTTATTTATTAGCAAATCAAAATTCACAATCGGGAAAATATTTTCCCTTCCCATTTCACAGGAACCCGATAAATAAAAAAAACAAGAGGTCCATGGGCCACATCGCTATCCTGAGCACTGTGGCTAGGAAAAAGTAGAATTTGGTTTATTATTGAATAGTTTAAATCCAAAAGTAGTCCCATGACCAATTATGGCTCTTTGCTATTCTTGATAAGATGATTTTTAAAGAATTTTCCAATATATGTCTATGTAAAACCTTGATTGGCCATTGTGGCCCCGCCCTACCCCAGGGGGTCAGGATTTGAACAAACTTGAATCTTCACTACCTGAGGATGCTTCCATATAAATATGATCGATTATGGCTTTGTTATTCTTGAGAAGAAGATTTTTAAAGAATTTTCCTATATATATCTACGTAAAACTTTGGTCGGCCATTGTGGCCCGCCATACCCTCGGGGGTCATGATTTGAACAAACTTGAATCTACAGTACCTGAGGATGCTTCCATATAAATATGATCAATTATGGCTTTGTTATTTTTGAGAAGAGGATTTTTAAAGAATTTTCCTATACATTTCTATGTAAAACTTTGGTCGGCCATTGTGGCCCCGCCCTACCCCCGGGGGTCATGATTTGAACAAACTTGAATCTACAGTACCTGAGGATGCTTCCATATATATATATGATCAATTATGGCTTTGTTATTTCTGAGAAGAAGATTTTTAAAGAATTTTCCTATACATTTCTATGTAAAACTTTGGTCGGTCATTGTGGCCCCGCCCTACCCCCGGGGGTCATGATTTGAACAGACTTGAATCTTCACTACCTGAGGATGTTTCCACATAAATATGATCAATTATGGCTTTGTTAGTCTTGAGAAGAAGATTTTTAAAGAATTTTCCTATATATTTCTATGTAAAAATTTGGTCGGCCATTGTGGCCCCGCCCTACCCCCGGGGGTCATAATTTGAACAAACTTGAATCTACACTACCTGAGGATGTTTCCCCATAAGTTTCATCTTTCCTGGCACAGTGGTTCTTGAGAAGATGATTTTTAAAACTCACCACCAAATTTTCATTAATTCCCAATTATCTCCCCTTGAATGAGGGTGTGGCCCTTCATTTGAATAAACCTGAATTTTCTTCACCCAAGGATGCTTCATGGCAAGTTTGGTTGAAATTGGCCAAGCGGTTCTTGAGAAGAAGTCAAAAATGTGAAAAGTTTTCGACGACGACAACGATGACAGACAACGGACAAGCTCACTTGAGCCTTTGGCTCAGGTGAGCTAATAAAATTGCCAAAATTTCATGTGAAATGTCGATAAGATTTTCATTTTCAAGTACGCCCAGAGTTCTGCCGAATGTCAATCAAAAGCGCCTAGCTCCTGTTTGTACAGCAACCATCAGAATGTTGGAGCGTATACAAAGATCTGATATGAATCAGATTGGATATTAAATTCACTGGACAATTAAAGAATAATTTACGACTGCATTCAATATAAAGAAAAATCATCAAATAAATGTTCTAACATCAGTTCCGATAGTGTTAATTACCAGTCCTCATTATCAGTCATCCCAGTACTTATTGCATAGTCAATTAACCCAGACTGGTCACATGAGGCTTCCACACTGTTAGAAAACTTGGTATCGTTCAGTGAATCACAAAGTGACACATCGTCGTTATATATATCTTCATCTAAATAATCGAATTCCTCATTTGAAGGACCGAAGCGTTTGTAGGCTATTTCTGAAAGCGTCGGGCGAAGTGAAAATGGAGAAATCCGTCCATCCAGACTGAACATTGATTGTACTCGATCAAAGGAGTCGACAGAGGACACACTCGGGCTCCGAACAGGCTGCACTGGGTTTGCTTTATACTTTTTGTAGAGTTTAACTCCACATACCGAAGAGAGAATCAACAGAAATATGCCGCATACGCCCACAACTGCAGATATGGCACCAATGCTCACCAGATCGGAGGAAGAGTCTAAATGGAAAAAAGTCGAGTGTTAAATACTAGTATTTAGCCAGGGACATACCAGTATACTAGTACCTATATTTTCCCAGTGAAAAAAGGCGAAGTGCGTTTGTTTTGGTTCATTTTTCAAAATCAGTTAGATAAAATTATTTTTTTTTTAGTTTACCAGATGATGAAAATATAGATCTATTAATATAAAAAAAGAAAGGTAATGGTCAATAAATATCATGAGAGAGAGATTTCTGATCAACAAATTGATTTGTTGTAAGAAGTGATATGACATATATACCCTTTTTCTGTCCTTGCCCTGTAAAATAAAAAAAAATACAATGTAGTGTTTTTATCATTTCAGTAATATCAAATATATATAAAGGAGATTTATTATTTTGATTAATTAATAGGGACAATTGTCACAATCCTTTCATTGCATTAATATCTGCATCGCTACCTTTTCTGGATATATACATTGTACAGTACGTAAGAATTTAAAAGCTAAACGCTGCTGCTAGGAACGACAAAGAAAATATTCCCACTCTTCTGTTTAATTCACTAATTATTACTAAGCTTTGTCTTTTTTTTCATATAAGGTGTCACTGCTCGAATAAGGACTATAAAAGAGAAGTTAATTAGTACATGTAAGTCACTGCAGTATTTCAAACTGTGTGCAGCACGTGATTTTGACATTGCCTTTTAATCACTTGGGAAAGAAATTAATCTGGAAAATACAAGTTATATATGCAGCAACTGAAGTACGTCCAATAGTACTTAAAAAGTTTTGTTATACCTTTCAAAATTTGTTTCTATGCAAATCCATACGAAAAAAGGCTATAATTTATAGCGTTTTTGTAACAACCAAATTATACTTAATTCATTAATCCCCAGGACCCCACCTAATAATTAAATGAAAAGAGAGCTGTGTGAACAGTACATTTGACAAAAAAAAAATCGACTGTTGGACGCTTATTATGTCACAGAATAAAAAAAATTGCTTGTAAATCATCATCTGAATAAAAAAGGAAAATGTAAGTGACCCATGATTATTTATTTTTTAATTCAATTACTTCACACAGTGATGGAACTTTTTCATTAACATTTCACTTTAGGTTTACCATTTAGCATATCAAAAATAATATCAAATTTCATTTGATGTGTTTTTTTTTTGGATTTAAAAATGCATATTATATATTATTATCCTTTCGACAACAAAGTTAAAAAAAACGATTTTTAGCATATAAGACACAGCCAAGGCCATGGGTCATTGAATTAATTAGTGGAGTATGCACACCAAATATGAAGTCTCTATCTTCTATGGTTCAAAAGTTAAGGCAAATGTTCGAAAAAGCTACATTTAGCAAATAGGTTTAATTAGTGGAGTATATATATCAAATATAAAGTCTCTGTCTCTCATTAATCAAAAGTTATGGCGAAAGTTCGAAAAAGCTTTTTTTAGCATGTAGGTCACAGCACAGGAGTCTGAAGTTTTTACATCAAAAAGACAGTATAAAATAAAAAAAACAAGATGTATTTGTGAAACACTATGCGCCCGGCGGCAACAAAGTTATAAAAAGCAATTTTTAGCAAATAGGTCACAGTCAAGATCACACGATCATTGTCCTTGGTGTCGTTTGAAAGCACTTAATTAGTGGAGTATGCATATCAAATATAAATTCTTTTTTTGGTTCAAAAAGTAAAAACTTCAGACTCCTGTGGTCACAGTCAAGGTAACATTTCATTGTCCTTGGTGTAATTTGAAAGAACTTAATTAGTGGAGTATGCATATCCAATATGAAGTCTCTATTTCTCATGCATCAAAAGTTATGGCGAAAGTTCGAAAATGCTATTTTTAGCATACAGGTCACAGTCAAGGTCAAAAGGTCATTGACCTTGGTGTCATTTGAAAGAACTTAATTAGTGGATCATGCATGCAAAATATGAAGTCTCTATCTCGCATGGTTCAAAAGTATAGCGAAGGTTAAAGTTGACATATATATATATATATATATATATATATATATATATATATATATATATATATATATATATATATGTCAATATACGCTGTGGATCTATCGATCCGGGCGCATAAAAAAACAAGCTGTGTTTGTGAAACACTATGCGCCCGGCGGCACAAAGTTCGAAAAATGCTATTTTTAGCATACAGGTCACAGTCAAGGTCAAAAGGTCATTGACCTTGGTGTCATTTGAAAGAACTTAATTAGTGGATCATGCATGCAAAATATAAAGTCTCTATCTCGCATGGTTCAAAAGTATAGCGAAGGTTAAAGTTGACAACAGACAGACAAACAGAAAAACAGACAGACAGGACAAAAACAATATACGCTGTGGATCTATCGATCCGGGCGCATAAAAAAACAAGATGTGTTTGTGAAACACTATGCGCCCGGCGGCACAAAGTTCGAAAAAAGCTATTTTTAGCATATAGGTCAATTTCAAGGTCACAAGGTCATTGACCTTGGTATCATTTGAAAGAACTTGATTAGTGGAGTATGCATACCAAATATGAAGTCCATATCTCTCATGTTTCAAAAGTTATCGTAAAGATTTTTTAAAGCTATTTCTAGCATATAGGTCACAGTTAAGGTCACAAGGCCAATGACCTTGTTGTCATTTGAAAGAACTTAATGAGTGAAGTAACCAAATATGAAGTCTTTATCTTTCATGGTGCAAAAGTTTTGGCTAAGGTTCAAGTTTGAAGACAAAAAAGGTATTTTTAGCATCAGGTCAGGGTCAAGGTCATAAGGTCATTGGTATTGGTATCATTTGAAAGAGCTTAAATAGTGGAGTATGCATACTAAATATGAAGTCTCTATCTTTTATGGTTCAAAAGTTACGGCGAAGGTTAAAGTTTGCAGGAAAAAGCTATTTTTAGCATACAGGTCACAGTCAAGGTCACGAGGTCATTGATCTTGGTGTCATTTGAAAGAGCTTTATTAGTGAAGTATGCATACCAAATATGAAGTCTCTATCTTTCATGGTTCAAAACTTATGGCGAAGGTTAAAGTTTGCAGACAAAGAAAAGACAGACAGACAGGACAAAAACAATATACGCCCCAGATCTATCGATCCGGGCGTATAATTAAAATGAAAGGTATAACAAAACATTTTTTGACTATGTTCTTGGGCAAATTGCGATTTGTCGATCCTCAAACCAAACTGTCTGCCTTCGGCCTAACGACCTCAGGCAGACAGTTTGGTTCTTGGGTCCGACAATGTATAATGTTTGGCAAAAAGGGTGGAGGGGCCTCCCCCTTATGTTACTGATTTTGTGTTCTTTTTTTAATCCTTCGATTTCTGATGTTCCATATGGCATAAAGAAATAAAGAATTGAACAATTGATTTACAAACATCTTGTTGTATTTTTATCATTATCCATTATTGAAAGACAAACTTTCACCAGTAATTCTTAAATAAAATAAAAGTGCTAGGGGTATGGGAAGGAAAACGAAGGGGAGGGGTAAAATTAAATGTTTATAATTAATACAACTCAGTAATAAGTAAACAGCTGAATTAATAACTAAAAGGTTCGCTATCCATTAAATTCAATTACTTACTATTACAATAATCTGAAAAAAATAAATATTTCTGGACTCGTAAATCAACAATCAAGTATCCATGACTGAAAAAATACTAGCTAGGGCTCTCTTGGTGTGGAAAATGTTTGGTGATTTAAGGGGGCCGACTATAGTTTTATTGTGTGAAAACTACAATAGCGAAACTCTTCATTTTTATACCATATATAACTTACATTAACTTCAGTGTATATGCAAAGTTTGGGAGAAATCTACCATTTAGGTATTTTTGAGGGACCGTCTCAAAATACAGGTACATTTACTACAGTACAGGGTTATATAGGAAAATGCCAATTTTTAGCACTTTAAAGCAAATTATACAAATACTACAATAGACATTTTGTTCAAACTAAATATTTGATGAGTAATACTATAATATACAACATATGTAAGAAACACAAAATTCTATAATTCAAAATGCAAAAAATTAGCAAATTTTACTATTTTATAGAGTATTACAAAATATGATGTACACAATGGATTCACATGAAAACATAATAGAAATATTGGAGATATTCTCAAATTTCTATGTTTTAAATTTCAAGAGCGTATGTTTATATATATTACTTTTTCTTTAATAATATTTTTATTACCCCTTTCTTTAAGAGCTACAAATTATCATAACGTCAAAAACACAAAATAACCTACCTATCAATTGCAAAATCGGTTAAAAAATCAGTTATATCAAATCGTAATTACATTTTTATACCTATAATTTCTTAATTTTATTTAATTTTAATAATTAAGCGAAAAAAGTTGCACCAAAACAGTAAATGCGCTTCATTTTACTATGATGCGCGAAATATTGCGCAATGGAAACTATAGTCGGCCCCCTTAAATTCAAATCAAGGAATCGTGTTTTCTTTTATACAAGGGAGTGCATAGAACCTGTTTGCAGTAGCTCGACATTTTTATTAAAATTTATCAAATTAAATGCTCGTGATAGAACTACATGTAAACAAGATTTACTACAGCTGTAAAGTACTTGATTGTTGTACTGTATATAAAAATACGACTGAAATTTCACGTGGATATGTTATGTATACATGATTATTTATACCCAAACTTAGCCAAGAAAAAAAATCAATAAAATTTTCAGATAAATAAAAAAAAAACGTTTTACAAGCAGTCAAAGCTAGGTTAAATTTTTGTTTGAAACTTGGAGGATTATCTGACTTTCGTGAGTTTCTCAAGCTATAGCCATTTTGGCACGACCTATAACTGACGCAAAGATTTACAATAATGTGAAAAAAACGACATTTGATGAAGACTGTGTTGATTATCGCATTCATGAATGCGCAACTTGCATCCACGGTTTAGGGTAGACAAATAAAAAAATACACATAACTGGCAATTTTATAAACTTCGGTTTCTAAATTTATTGGCAAACATCAAAAAAGCATTGCTACTTAGATTAAATCTGAAAAAAATTGATGGCGAGTGAATATACATGTAACTTTCACTGAATATAATGCAGTGCCCCCTGTGATGAAACAGTAGTGTTCATTACTGGTCTATTATAGATATCAGTATAGGGTGTTTACCTTGACTAGACAGATTAAGCTTGAGGTACGCTCCTGGCCCCAGTACTTGAAGAGGTGTTTGAGAATTTTCGTCCAAACACGCCTGTGGATATTGCGTCACGTGAATAAGACGTGAATCGCTTTTGTCCTGTTGCATTACCTTAAAAAACACAAAACAAAGTGTTAGAATAACTACACTAGAAAACACTGAAATATTTTTAAAATTAATTGTAAAAATTCTTTATTATCACTATATTTTACTAGTATTTCATTTGGCTTGAAAGATTTGGTTTACTTTGTTTTGGCTAAACGTATGCCTGTACCAAACACACTACACTTCCATTTTTAAATTGTGCATGTGTGAGTAAAATTTCCTGAGAGAAGAAAGACATGTTGTTTGATTTTGATTTTGTTAGGTGCATGTAATGTATTATTTGCTATTATTTGCTCTGTTCATCCGTCTGATTGTCTGTTTGTCCGCAAAAACGTTAACCTTGTCTCAAACTTTAACATGATCGGCTGGAGTCATGTATGATTTCCATATTTCACATATGTATTCCATGTGATACGACCATTCTTTTGGTACAACATACAGTATTTCACCTCTTGACCTTGCAGTTTGACCCACTTTTGCCAAATTTTATCAAACTTTAACCTTGGTTATAACTTTTGAATGATTTGTGCCAAGGATATCAACCTTCAAATTCTTTTCCCAGGAAGCAGACATTTTTTAACCTAAATTCACAGATAATTTCCTTGTGAAAAGATTTTCCCTTGGATACCAACCTTGAACTTTGACCTACGTTGAAACTTTCAACGCAGCCATAACTTCTAAACGGTTAGTTCAAAGGCTTTCATCTTTTTAAAGATGTTCTTGGGGGACATTGAAATTTGACTTGAGATTTGCCTCCTTTTGAAGACAACTTAGCCAAAACCTTTGAACAGTTATTGCTACAGCTCTGGTTTCACATCTCACTACAATGATTCTTAATTGTGTGATGGGAGAAACAAATACTCACATAGCATGTAAATCTAAATCTGCTGACTTCATCCGGGGTATTTCTATCATTATTGTAAACAATCAGATAAATGCTGCCATTGTGTGCTTCCTGTTGGACGCATGATAACTCTCCAGTCGCTACAAACAAGAAAATAATGACAGAATATTCAGTACAGAGACGAATTACTTGTATTTTATTAGCTCACCTAAGCCGAAGGCTCAAGTGAGCTTTTCTGATCAAAATTTGTCCGCCATCTGTCGTCGTTGTCGTTGGCATCGTCGTCGTTGTCATAAACTTTTTACATTTTCATCTTCTTCTCAAGAACCACTGGGCCAATTTCAACCAAACTTGCCACAAAGTATCCTTAGGTGAAGGGGATTCAAGTTTGTTCAAATGAAGGGCCACGCCCTTATTCAAGGGGAGATAATTCAGAAATAGTGAAAATTTGGTGGTATATTATAAAAATCTTCTTCTCAAGAACGACTGTGCCAGGAAACTTGAAACTTATAGAGAAGCATCCTCAGTTAGTGTAGATTCAAATCTGTTCAAATCATGACCCCTGGGATAAGGGCGGGGCCACAATGGCCGATCAAAGTTTTTAGAAATGTATAGGGAAATTCTTTAAAAATCTTCTCCTCAAGAATAGCAAAGGCATGAATGATCATATTTATCTGGAAGCATCCTCAGGCAGTGTAGATTAAAGTTTGTTCAAATCATGACCCCCAGGGGTAGGGCGGGACAACAATGGCCAATCAAAGTTTTACATAGAAATATATAGGTAGGGCTGGGCAATAATATCGATATTTCAATATATTGCAAATATAGGAATTTTTTTTTTAAATCTTCTTCTCAAGAACCACTGTGCCAAGAAAAATGAAACTTATATGGAAGTATTCTCAGGTAGTGTAGATTCAAATTTGTTCAATTGTGTGTTAGGGCGGGGCCACAATGGCCAATCAAAGTTTTACATAGAAATATACAGGATTTTTTTTTTTAAATATTCTTCTCAAGTACCACCGTGCTAGGAAAAATGAAACTTATATGGAAAGATCCTCAGGTAGTGTAGATTTAAGTTTGTTCAAATCATGACCCCCGTGGGTAGGGCGGGGCCACAATGGCCGATCAAAGTTTTACATAGAAATTTATAGGGAAATTCTTTAAAAATCTTCTTGTCAAGAATACCAAAGGCATGAATGATCATATTTATACGGAAGCATCCTCAGGTAGTGTAGATTCAGCTTTGTTCAAATCATGACCACCGGGGGTAGGGCAAGGCTTCAATGACGAATCAAAGTTTTACATAGAAATTTACAGGCAAATTCTTGAAAAATCTTCTTCTCAAGAATAGCAAAGCCATGATCAGTCATATTTATATGGAAGCATCCGTAGTTAGTGTAGATTCAAGTTTGTTCAAATCATGACCCCTGGGAATAGGGCGGGGCCAAAACATGGAATCCAATTTTTTGCATAGAAATGTTGTTGAAAAATTCTTTAAAAATCTTCTTTTCAAGAATGGCAAAGCCATCATTCGTCATATTCATATGGAAGCATTCTCATGTAGTGTAGATTCAAGTTTGTTCAAATCATGACCCCGGGGGTACGGCGGGGCCACAATGTAAGTTCAAATGTAAAGGGCAATAAAGCCACAGGTAGTCAAAGAAATATGCAGGCATCCGTGGTTAGTGTAGATTCAAGTTTGTTCAAATTATACCCTCTCCCTTTTAAGGATTGGTTTGGACCACTACTAGGTTTAAACTTTTCAATAATAAACTGATTTCTGCTTTTTCCAAGCTACAATGCTCAGGTGAGCGATGTGGCCCATGGGCCTCTTGTTTTAATACTAAAGATTCTTCTTCCACGATTACCTGAATATCCTTGCTCAACAGCACAGAAGTTGTAGTTAAAATCCATCCTTGAAGTATCTGAGCACACATCTAAGGAAGTATTTGCATTGCATTGGTTTCCGTTTCCAGGATCAAAGGTATACGTAAAATTTGCTTGAAGAATTAAAGGACATTGTTTTGTACTCAGGGCACCTGTAATATATTCGCAATTCCTCTTTATGAAATTCTTTAAGAAATCTGTCCACTTTTTTATTTTCACGCTTTAGAACTTAGAACAGGAAGGACATTAGTGCAATTCTCAGTTAACCTTGGACTCTCAGTAAGCCATATATGACAAAAAGATTCTCATTGCTTAAGAAATTAATAACACCAGGAACTTTAAATTGTTGTTGATAACGATGCTGAGACAACTTAAGCCCCTTTTTGCCGTGCGAGACGCTCTATTGGATAATTGCTACACTCGTTGAGTTTCTATCCCCATGTATACCGGTATATTATCAGTGAATGAAAGTTTGTAAATTTCAGACGCTAATTAATGATGTAACGTCGAGAATGCCACGCCTTACTGAAAGTCCAACGTTAACTGAGAATTGTACTAATTTGTCAGAATACTTACTAAATTTCAAAAGAACTCTAGACTGCCATGGATCATAAGAAGACTTAAATTGACAATCTCTTGTAATGTTAAAGTCTGCTGTGTGCAAGCGGAATAGCAATCTTGCATTTGCTGTATTTGGTAACACTTCTGAAACAGAGAAGAGGGAAAAGTACTCGTACATATCTTTATCTCAGAGTTGTTGAAACAATGACATATTATACCATAATAGTTCTCTTTTACATGTACACGTAATAATTAAAGAACCTTAAAAATGATAATTTTGTCATCTCAGTCTTTTTGTTTTCCTTCTTCATGTTCATCTTTTCAAAGAGTTAAACTGACAGATTACAACAGTTAGGTATGTTACATGTAGTAAAACAATAAAGTTATCTGACCAATTATGAATCAGACATTTTAAAATCATAAGGCTAACCTGTAGCTGCGTAGTAAGTGTATTGTGTAGCTGATATTCGTTGTAACTCCCAACACAACCCAAGTCGGAAGGGTGAACCATAGAAGTTAAAGACGTCTGACCTGAATTTAGTAAAAAGTGAAACATATATAAATTTTTACTTTATGGACTGAGTCAGAAAGATGAAGTCTTCCCAAACTTTCCCTTTTTCTTAGGTTGTGTCCCTATACCCTCAACTTCGTTATGGACCTGTAGAAGCATTTCTAAAGGGATCCTCAAAGACAACATGAATCATTTTAAGAATTGAAAGTATACATTGCATAAAGTATTCAACAGAAGCATGTCATTTAATATACATGTATATTATTTTTGGTATCTACATCTGCACATACGTCAGAAGGTATCGGTTTTCTTCTCTCGTCATGCATTCAAATCTTCGAATTCCAAAATTGACAATTTTACTTTTCGAGTCCATTTTGTTTCTATGAAATACCACATCTCCGATATCGCTTGCATGCCAGTCTCCTGCCAATTCCTCTGGAAACGTACATGTCGCGTCTGTAAATAAGAAAATCCAAGCATCATTACCAGAATATTACATAACCATGTAAACATGCATTCACCTTATTAATAGCTTTGGAGCGGACTTATATAAGCCATGTCTGATGTCCAATTCAATTTTGTAAATTGGCTTTAGCTGCAGAACTTTGGATCCGAGGCGTATATTGTTTTTGTCCCGTCTGTCTGTTTGCCTGTTTATCTGTTTGTTTGTCTGTTTGTCTGCAAACTTTAACCTTCGTCATAACTTTTGAACCATGAAAGACAGAGACTTAATATTTGCTATGCATATTACACTAATTGATCTCTTTCAAATGATATCAATGTCATTGACCTTGTGACCTTGACTGTGAACTATATGCTAAAAATAGCGTTTTTGTATGCAAATTTTAACCTTCGCCATAACTTTTGAACCATATGAAATATATAGACTTCATATTTGGTATGCATACTCCACTAATTAAACTTTTTCAAATGAAACCAAGGTCAATGGTCTTGTGACCTTGACTGTGACCTACCGGGATATATGCTTAAAATAACTTTTTTCGTACCTTCGCCATAACTTTTGAATCATAAGAGATAGAGACTTCATATTCGGTATGCATATTCCACTAATCAAGTTCTTTCAAATGACACCAAGGTAAATGACCTTGTAACCTTGGCTGTGACCTATATGCTAAAATAGCTTTTTCCAAAGTTTGTTGCCGCCGGGCGCATAGTGTTTCACAAACACATCTTGTTTTTTCTTCTCTTTTTAGCTCACCTGAGCAGAAAGCTCAGGTGAGTTTTTCTGATCACCTATTGTCTGTACGTCTGCAAACTTTTCACATTTTCAACTTCTTCTCAAGATCCACTCGGCCAAATTATCCAAACTTGGATTTAAGCATCCTTGGGTAAAGAGAACGTAAAATTATTCAAATGAAGGGCCACTTACCCTTACAAGGGGAGATAATCAAGAAAGTGTGGGGTTATTAATAAATCTTCTTCTCGAGAACGACTGAGTCAGAAATCTAAAGAAATTCGGGGGAAGCATCCTGGCATATAGTGCAGATTCTAAATTCTTCAAATCATGACCCGGTTGGGGGGGTCACAATGGGGAATCCAAGTTTAACATTGAGATATATAGGCATTTTTTTAAAGTGCTCCCCGGCAAAAACCACTGGGCCAGAAAAACGACACTTATGTGGAAGCATCCTGGGGTGGTATAGATTCTTAATTGTTCAAATCCTTGCCCCGGGAGTAAGGTGGGACAATATAGGCATTACAAGGGGGATAATCTGATGGACAACATGCATATTGCCAAAGTTATTCAGGTGAACATTGTGGCCCATTTGCCTCTTTTGATACATCGGAGAAAGTGCCACTCATTGGAAAAACAATGTATATCAGTATTTTTATTCCACACGAGATTTAGTGCGCTGAATCTCGGTTTGTTTCTCTGTGTTTTTCAACTGCAATCTAAAATATTATATTATTTAAACCGTATGTATTTAACATATTTACCATTTCTACAATGAAAGTTTCCTTTAACCGAGGTAAATAGCCCCTTAAGGGGGCCGACTATAGTTTCCATTGCGCAATATTTCGCGCATCATAGTAAAATGAAGCGTATTTACTGTTTTAATTCAATTTTTTTCGCTTAATCATTAACATTAAACAAAATTAAGAAATTATAGGTATAAAAATGTAATTACAATTTGGTATAAAAATGAAGAGTTTCGCTATTGTAGTTTTCACACAATAAAACTATAGTCGGCCCCCTTAAGACCTGAAATAGAGACCATCTAAAAGTTCGCCTGTTTATACTGTCATTTTGGGTGGCAAAATAATTCGGCCCAATATATACGCTTCGTGCAGATGTCTACCTTAAAAGTCCGAAATACTTATCTGACGTTTTCCAGACTTTTTTACGAAAATTTTCCTGGCACGTAAAATATCAAAATCGTGAAGTTGAGTGAGGTCTTTAGGGAATTTTTTATATCGATTTTTTTTTTTTTTTTTGTGCGATCATTTTTCTACCTTTGAAAGGGACTCGGGCCGATGGTTGAAAGTGGTCAAATGGTTCTTTAGAAGAAGTAGAAAATGCGTGTTTAGTTTACGGAACGATTGGCGGACAATGAGTGATCAAAAAGCTCACTCGAACTTTCAGCTCCTGAAGATCCTAAAAAAGTACCGGTTATTCACAAATCACATTTCACAACTTATTTGCTTAAAATGCAACTTATAGTGGTTATATCTGCGTAGTCGTACGTAATTTTGCTTTAATGTCGATCTTATTTTGACAAATATATGCAGATATACTATTATCAATCTATAATAAATCGTTTCAGAGAGAGAAAGAGAGAGAGAGAGAGAGAGAGAGAGAGACTTACCACAAAGCTGAACACAAACAAAATACAAATGGACCACAATTATTTTCATATTTTTCTTAAATGTTGTAGATTCAAACTTCTGGCATTCTCACAATACTTTGATTCGCAGAGGAAGATTTTAAAATCATATCTTAAGAGTATATTAAAGTTACCAAGAGTTAAGATTAATCTTTTGAACAGAATAAATCCAAGTATTTTGCCGTAATCCAAATCCCAGTCCTTTATATTAAAAGGTCGTCATGTTTGGTTGTACTGCTCTTCTAAAAATATTCTCACCGAAATATGAATTATGATCTAATCTTCGTACATAACATTTAAAGGAATTCAATGAATCGCTCTGTACATGTTTGTTAGTATTAGTATATATAAGAACATTGGTGCAAAGTTGTTTACTAATAATTTTTATTTCCTTCCTGTCCAAAGAAATAATAAGGGTGAGTGGAACTTAAGGAGACTAATCATTGACATTTCTATCTTCTGTTTCAAAAATTAAAAATGTACATATGTAAACTTTTTAAAATATTTTTGTTGGCAATGATTTCTAACACTGACCACTATTCTCGTGCAATTTTTTTTTATTTAGACTGCATAATCCACATCTGTGATGATTTTTCGTTTCAATTTTTAGAACCTAACTCTTCCCTTTTGGTGATGAATACCTAAAACATGTATAAATAGCTTAAATTATTGTTTTTATACACATCACTGAATATAGGTGCATCACATGCCATGCTACATATACCAGTGTATCAAAAACCGTGCCGTTTTTGGAAGGGAGTGAACAAATATGGAAAATAGTGCGCATTTTTCATCCCCTTCAAGGACAAAAACTGAACTTCGAACTAGCATCCACGCGAAATTTCAACACACCGGGTAGTTAATGAATGTGCTTAATTAAGTTCAATGATTTGAAATAACGTAGGAGAGCTATCAAATACCAGGCCTGTGGACCACATTGCTCATCTGAGTCCCACTGCCTTGCTATTCTAGAAATTTTAAACAGAGAATTTATGAATCAGTTGAAAGACGTACGAAATACTATTAGTATGCATTTTACATTTATATTATGCATGTGAAACAATTCTTTTTTTAAATTGTATTTAAAAAGTAAATCAGAATTTTCTTTTGATCAGTTTGAACAGCGGTAATTCCCATAGGTTGGTTGGTTTTTAAACAGTCCTTCAAAAGATTTTCACATATGTTGAGTGCCACCATTTGCTAGTGGAGAGCTACAAATTCAGACCTACTCGGCAATTACTGTCTGCAGCAGGGTTTTTTTGTGCCAGCACCTAATGTGACACAGGACCTCTTTATACTGTCTAATCCAAAGAATTGGTCTCCACATTCTACAGTGGTACACAAATCCACAACATAAGGATCAACTAGCAATGCCAAAAATACTGGTCTCCACATTCTACAGTGGTACACAAATCCACAACATAAGGATCAACTAGCAATGCCAAAAAACTGGTCTCCACATTCTACAGTGGTACACAAATCCACAACATAAGGATCAACTAGCAATGCCAAATATACTGGTCCCCACATTCTACAGTGGTACACAAATCCACAACATAAAGATCAACTAGCAATGCCAAAAAAACTGGTCTCCACATTCTACAGTGGTACACAAATCCACAACATAAGGATCAAGTATCAACCCTGTAGTCCTTATCCACAACTACATGAACAATGTATATAGCATGCTCTAACATGTGCCACACAGGGGATGCCATAGGTTGTTAGATCATGCCAAAATTATACTTTCTATTTTCTTTGATTTTTTTACTGTTAATATTCTGTCTCTTAGATTTCATTGATCATAAAATAATTAATGTTGCAATAAGTTTGACTTCTGGGCTTGTTTTTTTTCGCTAAATTGATAAATATTTCAAGGCAAATGAACAACTCGACTCGCAAATGAGAGTTTATGTCAATGCACTTTCATGAAAGTGGGGAAGAATCTGTCAAATAATTTGCCTGCTAAATATCCCTAAGTAAAGATGTATAAACTTCAATACTCAAAGCTAACTTAGTATCTTCTCCAGGAGCACACAGCTTTTTTTTTAATTATTAGGGGGGGGGGGAATTAAGTATAATTTGGTTGTTACAAAAATTTCACTAAAATGACACATGCCAAACTTGCCACGCTTTGTTTTAATATTTGAAGATGTTGACCATAATATTTTTTAAATCAGGGCCATTGAGCTATTAATTGAAAAAACCTTTTTGCTCTTTTTAAAATTGTCAACATCTACTGACTAGCTGATACTGCAACAGGGACTTCTGTTTATATGTTCTCATTGGAAGGACAGGTCTCCACATCCCACAGTGGGATTTGAACCCGCTACGTAAGGATCAACTCCTAACTCTGTGACTCTAAAGCAGATGCTCCACAATGGTGCCACATGGATTTTGTAAATAACTGAAATCCAATAATATAGAGATGCAAATCATTTGTTTGCTAGATATCCATCAGTAAAGATTTTAAAAGATATTATGATTTTTTATTATATGACCAAGTTAGCCCTACCCTGGAATCAGAGGCCATGAATTTCTTAATTTTGTAAATAGTTCATTGATCACAATAATCATGACAACAATTTGCCCACACTAGGTGCCCAGTAGTAAAATGGGAAAAAAATAATGATTAGTCCTACCTTTAACACTGTGGTCCCCAGGGAACCAGGCCTGAGGGACCATGAAATTTTGACCCCCTGTACTTAAACAAATTGGTTGTGATGAAATTTGATCAGCTGGCCTGCATAGAGAAGAAACTGAAAATGTTCAAAATTAACTTTTCAAACCCAAGTTTTGACTGCATGCTAATTTGTTATACAAGCACTCCTTTATAGCTGGAAGTAAAAATTTTATGGGAGAATAGAGGGAATACTAGAGAGAGCAGGTAAAGTTAAACCTAAGCAAACAGAGAAATGCCACTCCTTAATTTTCAGGCTACTTTCTTGGGTCAAACAGATGGAGTATGACACATGGTGCATGTATCAATGGACAGAGATAGCCTGCATCAAAGTTAGTCTAAGCATCCTTAGATACAATTAACACGGACCACCTGATTTTCAATTTACTTTGTTCTTGGACCAAGTATTCCAAGATCTTTTACTTTGAAACCAATTGTTTTGAGATTTTTGGTCACAATCTTAATGAACTGGAACAGACTGGTATTTTTAAATATTACATATCTCAGAAGTTCAAGCTAGGCACAAAATATTTGTGTAAAATTTATTTTTTTAATGGGACCTGTAATACAGTATATACTTGTCCATTTAAAATGATGAGTATGGGTGGTCCTTTCTAAGCTGGCACCATGCTTTAAATGCTAATTTTGTCACAGTCTCGTTTGTCTCCTCACAAGAGTCGGTGTCTGATGCAGAAAAATCTAACTCCAGACTTTCACAGGATCCTGAGTAATTGTGATCTTTCTGGCTTTCAGACATTATAGGTTTTACCAAATCCAGTCTGGTAATGGTTGACTCATAATTTTGTTCAACAAAATTAGGTATGGAGTGTTTGTGCACATAAGAGTGATCAAACCTAGCTAAGGATTTATTCTGTGTTTTCGTTGCCAGTGAAGAACAGTCGGAATGTTTATCTGTATATGCATGATCAGAGGTGATTGATAGCTTTGACAACAGCTCAAAGTTTGAATTTTCTGGACTTGGCATGTTCTGAGAAGTTTTGGTGTGAAAATATTCCTGCTGCTTTAATGTCTGAGTCTCTCTTGCATAGGTATGATCTGTCGAATCGGTCCCATCCTTCTTTCCTACACTGAACGAGGTAATGAAGTTGCTCTCTTTCGGCCAAGAACTGCTAAGAGCAATTGGATTGCGATAATTCTTATTCTCAAATTCAGCTGAACGATTTTTCTCTCGGGTTTTGTTATCTTCGTGAATACAAGAACTATCTTTAAGTTTAACTGACAATGAATTGACAGGTAAATTTTGTTCCAAGACTTTGCTGGACACATTCACTTCTTTTTCCTTCAAACTTTGACTAATTTTACTTTTCTTCGAATGTTTCCTCGTTAAAGAGTAGCTGTGATCCCTTTCTTGAAACACACATTTTTCACCAGAAAGTCTTACGTTAGATCCTTTGTGCGACGCATACGTGTGATCCACCTGTGGCTTATCCAGTGCCACAGCCATGTCTATGAAGCTAAGAAAATACGATTCTGCAGAAGAAGCATTCACATTGACATATGCATCTAAATGTTTATTCGGTGTTATCGTCTCCATTTTTCATCCCTTCGTTCAATATCATTTCTTAGACTTACTTGATATCTGCCATACCATAATTTTGCATACGTAGGCGATGACGGGACAATTCGCCCTATGTATGGTTCGGACTGAGATTATTTGCATTCAGACCTTTCTCACAATGCATTACATGTATATTGATCATGTTGTTGGTATAGCTCTTAAAAAATGTTAGATTTGAAATCGCATTAAGCAGTTCAGTAAGCTTTGAAAATATATCACTTTTTGTTAATCACTTAATCATTTGTTAATAGGCCTAATAATTTCCAGAATATAGGATTCGACTTTATGACTTGATTATAGGCCTATTAAAACAAGTAAAATTTTATGTGGAGACGGGACACGGAGATTCCCAACATCCTCATGATTTACATGCTAAATGCAGATTAAAAAAAAAGAAGAAGGAGAATCGATGTCAATAGACATGGTACTGTGAGCTGTAGATGTTCAGAGTTAGCAGCTAGTCCTAGTACTTCAGTACTACATAAGGACATAAATAATTAATTAATGGAATATTTTTTCAACTTGAAATGAAATTTATTTTTAATTCTTGAATCAAAGCATTTCAAAAGAAAAAGAAATCATAAAAAAAAAAGAAAAAAAAAACAACATAATTTACACAGAGCTAAAATTTGTCATTTTACATTATAAATAAGGCTTTATTATTACTATGATATAGTTTTGCTTGATTTTTTTCCTTGCATTTTATTTTTTCTCTCTTAATCCTCAACAAACATCTTGAAATTTTCTAGAGAAAAAGATGTTCCCACCTACTGTGTAAAAAATGGTTATTTTTGGCTTATATGCACAAAATGCACAAGAAACCTGAAACATACTGGTATTAAATTGTATAGTCACCGGTTCTCCACTGAAATTCGGTCTAATCAGTGTTTAAGCCTCAAAGAAAAACTAATCTTCCAAAAAAAAGACAGAGAGGATCCATTGGAAAGAAACACATATACCATGTACATGATGTATACAAATAAATAATGTGCTTAAAATATATATATATGGAAACAATTATACGTGTATCATTTTCCTCCTCCACTGTGAGAAAGGGGGGTCAAAATAGAATAGGTACGAAAAAATAAAAACACCTCCGAAAATCTTTTGTCACAGAAGGCGAAAAAGGATTCTTGTGGAAAGCACGTTGGTCCAAACTAAACTTTCATTTACAACTTAACAAGCGGTTAGTACAAAGAAAGCAGTAGACCCGAATTAATTGTATAAAAAATTGTTTTATATTTATAATATGTAACATCGTAGATGCATATTGAAGAAAATGTGTTGTACAGGCGTGTGGGTGATGTTAGCTGCAGATCTGTAGCTATCCGGAAAAATATATATTGATAGACCGGATAGCTACAGTGCCACCCATTGAAAAAACTGTATATTTATTGCGCACAAAAAAGTGCGCTCGGTTTTCGATTTATTTCTCCATGTTCCTAAAACTGTAATCTCAAAATATTACTAACTGTGTGTTCCTAACATATTCTTTGACTCTTTCCACAACAAAACATTCGTCATAATTGTTGTATATAACCCTGATATTGTCATCATCGAACATTTCGATTATATATACTGCCATTTTGGTTTCATATAATTCGGTCCAATATGCTTAGTTCGATAACCCTATATACTAATATATAGGTCTCTCTATGTAGAAGAGGGAAACTTAAATCTTCCCTCTTTTGCAATTGAGGTAAGAATTTGGAAGAAATAATCACCAGCGCACTTTTTTGTGCGCAATAAATATACAGTTTTTTCAATGGGTGGCACTGTAATGTGTTAGCTGCAGGGTATCCGGAAAATATATATTGATAGACCGGATATCCGGTCTATCAATATACATTTTTCCGGATAGCTACAGATCTGCAGCTAGGGTGATGTACTAGGGCTGTCACGGTTAACCGAAAACTCGGTTAACCGCTCCGAAATGGCGTTCGGTTCGGTTCGATTTTTCCGGAATCTTTTATATAATACTAATTTGCTTGCAACACGCGTTGTGATTGGTTGTTTATTTCAATGAAGGGTTCTTTAACCAATGAAAATACAGGTAACATCGAAGACATTTAAACATGGCATACACATGTGGAAGGAAAACCAAATCACAAGTGTGGGAATACTTCACGTTTTGAATTTTCAATTGTTTGAAACAAGATAACTCTAGTCAATAACTTTATTTATTTTATTTTATTTTAAACGAGAAGTTTATTACTTTGTTATTTTTTGTTACATTTAACAACTTGTTCTGTTGAATAAAATGGATAGAAATTTGTGTCGGCAAAATAGTACTTTCTACAATGTCCTTAATCCTTATTATCCTTTGATATATATAAAGATGTTTTATTTAAATTCTCAAAATGAAAACCGAACCGAAAAAACCGAAAACCGAGAATTTATTTTCTGAACCGAACCGAACCGAAAAATGTCTGAACCGTGGCAGCCCTATGATGTACGCAACATGAACTGGATGAAACTGGAAATCTTATCTAGCTGTATTACACTTTCTCCAATATTGTTTACTATATAAGCATCACAAGCCAATATAATCAGTGATAATCGTCTCTCTATTACTTACTGTATTAGCACCACAATCTAATATAATGTTTAGGGGTAAAAATATAGATATATCAAAAACTGAAAGTTAAGTTGAACATATTGAATAGTTCAATTTTGAATTGATAATTCCAAGTCTACAACTCACATATGTTTAAAATGAACCATGTTGCAATCTAACTATATGTCATTTAATATCAGAGCAGCTTGTAGTAATCATAGATAGAATGTTCTATGGTTTTAAACAGTAAAATGCTTTCTTTGTTTGTTATTACTGGAATTAACGGTTGCAGCTGTTGCAGAAAAAATGCATAACGCGCGTAAGCAGGATATGTAAATTTTTTCTGCAATAGCTGCGACCGTTAATTCCAGTAATAACAAACATAGAAAGACATTTTATTGTTTATAATTATATCTGTTTAAATAATCATTTAAAGAAGGGTTAAAAAGTTTAATTATTGTATTAATGATGAGAACGTCTTTATACGTTTCATTGATGGAACAGCCACTGATCAAGAAATCTGTAAAGGCGACATGCCTAATGTAGTTCATGCAGTGATTAATGCAATGGGTTTTATAAAGAAATAAAGGAGAAAATATTCAGTGGATTTAAATATAAAATGATAAATGTCCTACGGACCCGGTTTAACCATAGAATTTGTTCCATGTATACGTAGTGTAGCATTAGAAACACAGGCAATAACTTGTACTCAGTGCATTTACTACGAACAATCCAGAGAATTCCAAAGCAAACATGGCGTGTAAATTTGAAGTGAAGAAAAACGAGAAAATTAGTTGAATTTTCGTCTTTATTTGGATTATACATTAGGTTTAAAGGTACATGTATAGGCAACCTCAAAAAGGTTTGTTATAATTAATTTTGAAGTTATTTCTTGTGCAAATCCCTCTGTATTCTTCAAAAGGTTTGTTAATTTTTTGCTACATTGCGAATTTTGAAACTGTGGTGAGGGCTTGTCACGAGACACAGTTAGATTATTCTAACTACAGTAATTGTAGTTGCAAAACTTTTGCATCATGGTTTTATAATATACAGTATTAGTCTTTGAAAATAACACTACAGACCCCGTGCTTCAGTTAACTGAATATTGTGCAATTTATGCAATTCTGCATGCCAACTTTTTTCCCATGCTACATTTTTCAAAGCTCTAAATTCGCAACATTTTGTCGTGAAATTAAATGATAATGAAATGATCTTTTTTTAAATTTATAATATTTGATATCACTTATAAATACAACTTAAGGATTAATTTAACACAAAAAATTAATTTAAAAAAATTAAAAAAAAATTTTTTTCCCCCCAAAATTGAAATATTTTTGCTAAAATAAGTGCCTCTCTCATCAAAACGTTTTTTTTTCTACCAGGACACATAATTTAGTGAAAAATTGAAAATTGTACAACTTTTAAATCATTTTTTTCAAAGGCTAAAAAATATATGATTTTGATACTGTAAAGTCCTGCTGAAAACTTTTTGAGATTTTTTTTTTAAATTTCAATAAATTAGAAATTCTGGTTTACTGAAATTTATAATATACACAGTCATGAAATTTGTCAGGCTTGATGGTGCCATTAGTACCTATAAAATATTACTTTTGGGAGAAGGAAGGGAAACGAAATTCTAATTGACATACACTTGATTGTTTCATCTTAATTTCATAATATTTTAACTAGCAAACTTTACAATATTTTTCATTATAGGTAGATAGATTAGATTATAGGTAGATAAAATCAGCAGCTATGCTTTGTAGTTTTCTACTTTCGTTTTCAAAAAACGATCTCTTTGTATTCTGATTTTACAGTTTGATTAGTATTTCATTGTCTTTAATTTATGTTTTTAATAAAATTAACACATTAATCTATGTGTTTCACCTTGCATTTATGACAAGATAATCAAATTCTATAAGCTTGTGCACTGTTAACATGGTGATTTCCTGTGGCTAATTAACATTGTTAAATAAACAATGAAACTTATCTGAGTGCATTGAATAAACAAGTTTGACGTTATCCCGATTGTCCAGCATTTGGAAATTTTGGTGATTTTTTTGAATCAATCAACTACCTTTCACTCTCTATGGCACTGTTAACATGGTAAAGAGAATTTTGAGTGCCACGTTCCAGCATTTGTCAATCAACTACCTTTCACTCTCTAGTAAGTAATATTGCGATTACCTCACAGTTATCTAACTACTGCTCTTTTGCGGGGAGCCGAGAAAGCTCAAATCTTGCGAGATTACTGGGGCATGGCATTGTTTACAGTAGTGAACATTTTCTCTTGCTTCAAATTTACCTGCCATGTTTACATTTGGAACTCTCTGGATTGTTCGTAGTAAATGCACTGAGTACGAGTTATCGCCCGTGTTTCTTTTGCTACATTGCAAATATACGGAACGATCGAATTCTATTGTTAAACCGGGTCCGTAGGACAATATCATTTTAACAATAGAACGTTCTATCGAATTTGTCCCCATCCAACAGGTATTTCTACCTCCATCGCGAAAGAGTTTCGCTAAGTTAAGTAATCGCGATATCAAGTATTCTGTACACATTCTTTATTCAATTTATATGTATTTTATCCATCTCTCAATCATTCATTGTCATGTTTTTATCGACCAATATATTCACCATTGGTTTAGAACACAACTAAAATGGGTTGAAAGGTGGAAAAAATAATATATCAGAGCTGTGGAAAATTGCCGGTCATGCCGGCAAGACCGGCAAAAAATGCCTGTGACCGGTAAAAATGCTATCGATGTCGGCCCAAATGACCGACCTCTTAATTTTCTTTGTTAAAGGTTTTTGATTTTCCATTTTGATTTAGGCCTATCAGCGGCACACTTCCCAGCTTAGTTATCGTACCATATAAACGATTGCGCAATACTTTTTCTTTGCACGAGATCGAGGCTATAGGAAATGAAAGTGAAACCAGCATTGTCTCGCATGACCTTTTAAATTTACAAATGGGACAGAATTAGGTAAAAAACATTTTAAAAAAAGATTACACAGGCTAAATAGCTGGGTATGAAAAACATTTTGACAGAAAAAAATTCAAACACAGTTGAGTAAAGCGGTAAACCTAATACTTCTGTTGTTTCGACTGTCCCAGATTTCGTTTTTTTCATCGATCATGTTCATGATATTGGTATCTTTATCATAGATGCACAGAGTTTCTTAGACTCATTTTCAAGGCAAAATATAATTCCCAAATGCATTAATGTTTAAGAAAAATTATGTTTATTATGCAGAATTATCATTGTTACCTGCCAAAAAGTGATGCAATCTAGTATTGTTATAAATGCAAAAAAAACGAAAACGAAGACTTGGAAATGAAGACTTTTTTAATGTTTTATTAAGTAAAGTGTACTTAAGAAAATAAATGTAATGCTTTTCTTTTTATTTTTGCAACTATACTATTTCGGACTGGCAAAAATCACTTCAGACCGGCATATTTTGTCTTCTTGTCGGTCCGAATGACTGGCTATCTGAAAAAGTTTTCCACAGCTCTGATATATACATTGATTAAAGAATGTGTAAATAATTAGGGAGATAAAGGTAATAGATTGACTGTTGCAGGAAATTTAAGTGTCGAAATTTTCCCAAACAATGTGCAGAAAATCTTCCACCGTAAACAGCACATAATCAGACTTCCCGGATCTGTAACGTATGGTCAAAGACTAATATTTATAGAAGCAAAAGGCGAATGTTCTACAGCTACAATATTATTATAATGGCCGGTCTTTTTACTTTTTAGCTCACCTGAGCTGAAGTAAGCTTTTCTGATCAAAATTTGTCCATTATCTTTTGTTGTTGTAAATTTTCACAAATCTTGACCACTGGGTCAATTTCATTCAAACTTTCTACAAAGTATTTTTGGTTCAGGGGAAGGTATATCATCAGATTTATAACATTTGGTAAATTTGGTTAAATTTGCAAAAGTGGGTCAAAATCTAAGGTCAAAAGATCAAATATGATAGTACATGTACATGTAGTTGGTACTCAAAGAAAGGTCTTGTCACAAGGAATACACTGTGAAATATGAAAGCCATAGTTCAAACCATTTTTAACTAAGTAATAGGCAAGGTTAAAGTGTTTGCAGAAAAAAAACAGATAAGCAGATAGATTGATGGAGCAAAATCTTTATGCACCCAAATTTTTGATTATGGGAGCATAAAAATACTTACACAAGTCATAAATTGCTAAACTATTAGAAAAGTGAAGTGTAAGCTAAATGCTTATGCATGAAAGTGGGTAGATAAAACAAAGTGTAGATCTATTCTTATGAATTGATAGTCTTTTTACATAAGAATATTCATTGACTCATTGCTTATGATTTGAATCCTTAATATGTTTGAATACATGTGCATTGCTTATGACTCAACAACTATTAATAACAGTGTCAGTTTTCTAGTTCTGTTCTGTTTTTCAGAATTAGGATTGGACAGCTATGAGTTCTTCAAAGAAATCTGATGAATCGATCGACGAAAAAATTGAAAAAGTGATCATCAAGCGACAGATCACATTGTTACAAGGCGTAGCCATTATTGTAGGAATCATAATTGGCTCTGGTATTTTTGTGTCTCCAGTGGGAATATTGAAAGAAACCAAGTCTGTAGGCTTTTCCTTGGTAATGTGGGTTGTGTGCGGTATTTACAATACCCTCTGTGCGATATGTTATGCAGAGTTAGGAACTACCATTCCAGAATCGGGTGGAGAGTATGTCTACATCAAAAGAGCGTTTGGAGACATACCTGCATTTATCTGTCTATGGATAAACTTTCTGCTTATATGTCCAGTTGGTATTGCTGCCTCAGCATTGATATTTTCCCTCTACATCCTCAAACCCATGTTTCCAGACTGTGAAATACCAGAAGAGGCCTTGGCATTGCTGGCTGCTTGTATATTTTGTAAGTATCTTTAGCAACTTTAAATCGGGAGGGGTCTCCCTATTTCATTTTGTTTGTTTAGGCTTAGAATTCAAAATGATATGTAAAGAAAATAGTTGCAATGTGGGGGAAATTGTATAAATTTTTCCTTGCCAAGCAACCACTTTGCTACATATTGACAAAAAATCAATATCTTTTCTGACTGCGATTGTAACCATGGTAACCTGCTCTAGTACAGTATTTAAAGAGAATCCATGGGTAAGGACGATCTTATAAAACTAAAAAAGAAGTTTTTTTTATAATATGATCCAGAGTTTTTTCATGACCTTGACATTGAAGTTTGACATATTTTTCAAAAACATTAACATTTGTATAAAGTTTTAGAATGAAAGAAGGTAAGTTGTTCATAATTTACATGTGCATTAATTTACTGTGACAAGACCTTTTCCAAAATACACATGTACTTTGACTTTTAAACCCATAATATTGAAGATTGGCACATTTTTAAAAAAAATTAACAGTTATGATAACTTTTAAATGAAAATAGCTTTGTTTTAATAACCTTTTCTTGTTTATTTAGGTCTGTTAATTGCAGTGAACTGTCGTAATGTAAAATGGGCAGCCAAAGTTCAAGTAGTCATCACTTTAAGCAAGCTGATAGCTCTTGCTATTATCATTGTCATTGGAATGTACTACATCATTGGAAAGGGTAGGTCCAAAATCAGCCCTGCCCAAAATTTATATCGATGTTAATCAGTGTTTAAAACTAACTGTAAACTAACGGTAAAATAAGCTTGACACACCTATGTCTGACAGCTGGCAATAGTTGTCAGCCCTGCGAAAAACCAAAAGAGTAGGGGTGAAACGATTCGCCTCCTTCATGGTTTGATACGTATTGTAAAATTTGGTATCTGTTCGGTTATTTTCCATATGATACAAGTTGATAGAAGGAAACAAAGTCAACTGTTGTTTTATGCTTCCTTTTACTTTATCTGGTAAAATAATTTATGTGCAAAATGGATAGAAGAAATCAATTTTATTGATTTATTACTACATGTATTGATTTATTACTATTTATTAAAAAAAAATTTACAAACTGTAAGTCCACAAAAATTTACACATTTTTGAACTAATTATATTGAGGTGCATGTTTATACCTTATGCAAAACCCAACTGTGTGATGATCCCGACTGAAAAACGAACCGGAACCGATAATAGAGATTTTGTACTGTGTATCGAACCGAGAAAAAATACCGTGGTGAATCGATACTGGGGTGAACCGTTTCACTCCTACCCAAGAGAGCATTTGTTTTATTAATTGGTTTTAACAATGATGTGAACAGTCCTGATCACCATATCCTTGATCCTGAACCTATAGACGAAATCCACTCATTTAGTTGTTACACTTTGATGCCAATACTACTATAGTCGATTTGAGAGAGTTTATCAAATAAGCATAACTAAATTTTAATTTATTGAAAACTTTTTCACATCAAGCAGACTATTGATACATGCAAATCTGTTTGCCTGTGACGAGATTTGTGCATTTCGGGCGGTCCGATGTACAGTTATATTATACACTGTGTTAATATCATCCAAACTGTCTCGTAGCTTGAAAAAATCTTTCAACAATTACTTCTATATAGTAATACAAATTATTACTCAGGTAGCAATTGTGGTTGTTGGACCTGTTTTATTTGTAATTTCTATTTCAGGAGAAACAGAAAATTTTGAGAATGCATTTGAGGGTAGTGACTACAGTGCTGGAGCGATTGCGATTTCATTTTATTCAGGATTTTGGGCCTATAGTGGATGGTATGTGGAATTTCTCTACATTTTATTTTTTGCAGGATTTCGGGCATTTAGAGAACGGAAAAGTGTAATTCTTCCGTTTAATATTTAATATTATGGATTGTGGATGCTGAAGTGGATAGTGAAGAAGAATCCTCTCCTATTCATTTTATAAAAGAGACGGAGTTACATGTACTGGTAAATAAAATTCCTCTCCATTCCCTTTCCTGCAGGATTTTTGACCCATAGTTTTGGTAAATTAATTTCTCTCCTTTTATCTTCATGCAGGACTTGTGGAAAGTAATCTAGAATTTCTATCCCTTCATGCAGGACTTGGGAAGTTGTCGTGGAAAGTAATCTAGAATTTCTATCCCTTCATGCAGGACTTGGGAAGTCGTTGTGGATAGTAATCTAGAATTTCTCTCCATTCATGCAGAAAATGGGACTTTTATCTTGTTGTGTATAGTAATCTAGAATTTCTATCTGACCATTCATGCAGGACTTGTGGAAAGTAATCTAGAATTTCTATCCCCTTATGCAGGACTTGGGAAGTTGTTGTGGAAAGTAATCTAAAATTTCTATCCGACCCTTCATGCAGGATTTGTGGAAAGTAATCTAGAATTTCTATCCCTTTATGCAGGACTTGGGAAGTTGTTGTGGATAGTGATCTAGAATTTCTCTCTATTCATACAGGACTTGGGCAGCGTTTTGGACAGTAATTTAGAATTTCTATCCCTTCGTGTAGTAGTTATAGGGTCCGTAGTAGATAGTAAATTGTAAGTCCCTCCCTTTCTTTTCCTTCCTGCTGTATTAATTAATCATGGAGCCCTTAATAAATGGTAAAGCAAAATTCCTGTTCTTTTCAAATTATATATTATACTAAATTAGTGTAAGATATATCAACTCATTATCTAGTATCAAGATGGAGCCAAAATAAATGGTTATGCATTAAAATAACATACTTCAAACCAGTTTCTTTAATTTTAGGAGTTACTTGAATTTCTTGGTCGGAGAACTAGTTGATCCTAACAGGTAAGGAAGTTAAATAAGAAAAAAATGCTCTGTTTCATTTTAATTTTACAGTAATTTTTTTAATTCGTGTATTTGTGTACATTTGTTAAGATGTAATCTTCAGTAGATGTAGCATAACCACCCACACATACAACTTAGTATAATTACAGACTTTAAAGTTTTTCATCCATTTTTTTTTACATATCCCAATAAATTTTCAGCTCAACATATCATATTTTAGACCAGGAAATTTTGTGTCCATTGCTTGTATGTATTTTATTTTTTTTATTTTTCTAAATTCTAAACTCCTACAGTTTTAACCAGATTTTAGTAAAATATAATTGCATTGTGAATTACCCTCGGGAAAATTTTGTTCAATAGACAGTACATGTAGATCGATATACAAAAATTGCAAAATTTGGGAGTGTCATTTTAAATACCATCACTTTATATACAACTTTTGAGACAGAATTTTTTGTATTTGCTGACAAGGTTCTTTTATCAACTGTAGAACTTTTGAAATGATGAACTTTAAAAGAATTATCAGTAAAAGCTTTCTTGTGTAATGTTGGAACAAGAAGCAACAAAAGGAGCAGTTTTAGATTGACTAATACAAAAAAGTGCTTACTGTAAATTGATTAAAATACAGTCTTTCCAATATTGATTTTCTGTATTATCGTATGTGTTTGACTAATATTTGATTTTTGATTATTTTCAGAAATTTACCGCGAGCCATCCTTATTTCCATGACTTTAGTGATTGTGACGTATTTAATAGCCAACGTAGCCTATCTGGGAGTCCTGAGTCCAGTAGAAATGCTCAAATCACCAGCTGTCGCTGTGGTACGTACTTCTTCATGTAATATCACTTCATTCACACTTAATTCTCGCTTTTTTGTTGTTTTTAAAATGTTTAATTCAAATGCATGGGGTAAAACCACAAAATCAATGATTTATTTTTTAATGTACATTGAAGAAAAAACTAACCTAGCTCTTTTGAAAATGGTCATATTTGAATAACATTTGGAATAAAATTTTATCAGCTATAACCAAACAGTTTTTTTTTTGTTTCAAAATACAGATTATATACCATTTCTGTATTTATTATAACAAAAGAAAAGTGATCTTATTGAGAGTTTTAATGGGCAAAGAAGAGGAGTAGAAACATTGACTTTTAAAGTTCAATCTGTAATCTTGCAATCCAAAAATTTTATAATAAATTAGTAATGATTTGAACGTGTTGAAAAGTTTAGCTCTGTAAATGTGTTTTTTAATTTTCCACATTCAGTTATATCATTTTGTCCATGCAGTTATATCTTGAGCTTTGGTGCAATCACTAAAAATGTTGTGTAAGCAAAAAATTAATGTATTTAAAAAGTTATGCTTAGGCTATAGACATTAACAAACAGAAAAGAAATAAAATACTCCAGCCTAACTCTTTAGTGGAACAAAAAGGATAAATTAATTTTTCAACAAAATGAACAGGCTTCCATATAAATTTTTACTTTGATGGAGTTTGATTCAAACCCTGGTCAATATGGGCCATATGGTGAAGTCCAAAAATGCAAAATAGCATTATCTATGTGATGGTAATTCTAAGTTGGATGTAACCCTGTCAAAATCAAAATACCATCAAGGAGAAAAGGAAAGGACGTAAGAGAGCTAGAGGTGAAGGAAACTGAGGAGACATGTTATGTCATTAGTTCCTAGCTCATTTACATATGTGAAAAATAAATACCGGTACATATGTATAAGTACTTTACTAAGATGATACCCATTTTCTGAACTTACTTGTTCATTGAACAGTGCTGCATCTCTCAAGTTGAACAATCTTTACAGCACTGCAAAAAGCATGTGTACTTCCTTAAATGTGATATGAGAAATTTCCTTTTGGGACTTAAGATATGGTTGAAGTGCAGCTATGTCCAGAGTAGTCAGGTTGACCTGTAGTTTATGTTAGAATTCAGAGACTGATGTTCGATTTTTATAAATCTTTGGTTTTCTACTATTTACATTTTTGACATCATGGTACTTTTAAGAATGTTGCATGTACATTGTTTTGAATTTCTTTAAAAAAAAATTCAAAAATAGTCAGTGACAATTTTAGCTATTAATTTTAAGTGTACTATGAATATCAGAAGTGAGATTTTAAAAAAAAATCTGAAACTATGAATTTCCATTTAGTTGAAAGGGAATGAAGTGGGCCAAGGCAAATTGCAAAAATGACAGTATCAGTAGACTGCTGATCTGAGCTAGAAACACTAACTTGCATGAAGACAGTGGATGAGATGGGAAAAATTATATATTATAAAAAGAATTTGACTGCTAGAAACCTGTCTTTTTCAGACTTTTGGGGAAAGGACAATGGGTGTTATGGCTTGGTTGATGCCAGTATTAATAGCAGTGTCTGTTAGTGGTACTATGAATGGTACTGCTTTGAGTATGTCCAGGTAATTTAATTAGAGCTGTGTATTAATGCATAAACTGCAATAACAGAGCTATATTTTGATGCTGTATTGCATGCAAATGCTTTTCTTTGGAAGCTTGTTTATTTAGACCATCATTATTTTTTTGTTTGTTTGATGTACCCTGACCCACATTTTTTCAAAATGGGTGGGTATAGGTAGGTGGGATTTTTTTGGCTATCTGATACTTTGATTAATCAGTGTCAAAAATGTACAGACTTAGAAATTTATTGATATTATCATTAAACATCCTCTGGACAAGGCAGATTTAATATTTATTGCTATAAAAAATTGTAAGAAATAAGATATTGTAAATCTTTGAAATGAAATAATGTCTACTGTGAAATCACTAATTTTCATGGGGTTTTTATTTTTGTGGTTTTCAAGGTATGAAGAGACCAAGAATTTATGTCCACCATGAAATGCAATTTTTCACATGTATTACTACAGGCCTTTGGATCGCTTAAAAAAAATTTGTGTGTAAAAAAAAAAATAAAGGTATGGAACTCTTACACTGGGTACCCAGTTTCGCTAATAAAATAATTTTTATTCAAATGCTCTAAAATTCTACTTTCTATTTAAATTCATTCATAGATAAACATTCTTCATTTTCTTCCAAAGCTTATTCCGAAATTCCATATATTTCTTGAGATATTTTGAAATCAATTTTAAAAATGATTCTTTTACTCGACATAAGCTTGGGCCCCTGGTCATTCACATGTAAACAGACGGTGTTTGAAGTGTAGCGAAGAGTTCATAGTATTTGCAAATCTTTCAACAATTTAAAGTTGATTTCTTACTCTAGATTGTAACATTAAGTCCGTAATAATTCCTTTCGCGAAAAATTAATTTGAAAACATCTACATCAACAACTGCACTGCCATGTTGATTATGAATGTAAATGAAGCCATGGTAGAACAAATTTTTCCTGGAATGCATTATATACCTCTCGATTTTCAAAACAATTAGACCGCTAAAATGTTGTTTGTGATGTAGTAAGATCATATGATCAAATTAGATAAAAACCTTGTAAAGCTTGAATGCAAATAGCAAATATTCATTGAGTTTAGAATAAATTCCGGGGAAAATTTGTCCCATCATTCCCGCTTTACAATTAGTGTAGCTCTTCTAAGGCCCAAGCTGATGTCGAGTAAAAAAAATTAAGGTCAGTTTTGGAATTGATTTCAGAATATCTCGAGAAGTATAAGGAATTACGGAATGAACTTTGGTAGTAATGAAGATTGTTTATATCTGAATAGATATGGATAGAAAGTAAAATTGTAAACATCTGATTTAAAAGAATTTTATAGGCAAAAGTGGGTACCCTATGAAAAGAGTTCCATGCCTTTATTTTTTTTTTCAACACCTCAATTTTTTTCTAAGCGTTCTAAAGGCCTGTGTGTATTACTAGTGAACAATTCTTCAACCACGAACCAATATATTTTCTTCAAACCACGAAAATTTGACCCCTCGAAAATATGAGGTTTTACATTGCATGTATTTAAAAAAAATAAAAAATTTCATAGTACTGAAAAAAAGGTTTGGGTAGGGGCAAATTTGGTAGGTCTATTTAAGTACCCCACAAACAAATCATCTTTGATTGTTGGCCTCATACTGTAAAGCATTCTCCTATTTTCTTGTTTACCTGGAAATTTCTGTATTATGTTGCAGTATATTTAATTTTTTTCTCAGTATAGTTAGTAGTGTTGTCATATTATAGCTGTTAACTCCCTTATGTTCTGATTGAGTGCCATCATGAGCAAATAATTCCATAGATATGATTGTTCAAATCATGGTCCCCAGAGTTAAAGAGGACTGGGGCTAATTATAGGAACTTTTTATGCAAATAAACAGAAAATAAGAAAAAAATAGCTTTCAAGAATAGGAGTGCAACACTATGTATAATATTAAAATGCAAATATTCAAAAGTTACACACATTTATTATTTTTTTTTTCAAAAATAGACTTGTGGTAATTGCATGGACAAAATTGAGTATCAAATTTTATGTAATGCCCATTATGTTAGGCTAAAATCAATAACAAAAAATCTTAATTAAGGTCATACGCAACATAGTTTTCACTTTAATTGGTTCTTCCCTGGAGTTGAAGAGTTCCACTAAATGAAGGACCTGTGTGCAATACTTTTAATGTCTATATATGGATTTGTACACCTCTTCTGAAACAAATTTTGATAAAAAAAAATCTGGAATTTATGTTTCGTAATTTCTGTACATTTTTCTTTGAATAGTGCAAAAATTTCATAATTTGATATCTTTTCAAAACCCCTGGTAACACATGCTGATTTTTTGTGTAAGAACATGTAATGGTATTATAAGTTTAAATTTAGAATATCTTGAAAAGTTATCAGTAGGTAAGGTACCTTGCGTATGTCCTTAATAGCAATAAGGCCTATTTAGCTCACAGGCACCTGACGTTACTTATTTTTCTTTTAATTAAAAAAAATGTACCCATATTTAATAATGAACAAGGTACCCATCGAGAGCGCCATCTTGGATTTTCGAAGTAGGTCATTCACTTGTAATTTCATCTGAAACTCCGTAAAATAAATTCCCTGCAACCATATTCTTTCTGTTTCCAGAAAGAATATGGTCTAAATGGTCTAAACTTACGGCCAGTGCAACCAGGAGGGCGCATCACCCTTACGAATATTAAAAATCCCTCGTCAAACTCAATCTACTGCTTCAATAATGCGAGAAATAACTGAAAATTAATTCTGTACATGTGTATATTGTTTTTGATTTGGATGAATGGTGTTGCCGTGGTTACTAAAAAAAGAAATTTCTGTGAAATTCTTTCAAAATGCTACTACTCCTACAGTTTCGGTCTGATTTCAATATAACCTGGCACACAAGTGGACTACACTAAGATACATAATTATATATATATCGACTTTTGACTTCGATGAACATTATTGCCTTGGTTACTAAAAATAGAAATTTCTGTTAAATTCTCTCAAAATGCTACTCCAAATACAGTTTTAGTCTGATATTAATATAACATGCCGTACAAGTAGACTACACTAAGATACATAATTATATGAATCAGTTTTTGATTTTGATGAATGGTGTTGCTGTGCAGGGGTGTGCAATTAGCATCACCCGACGCCTGGGGCTACCACTTTTTGGGGTTGGACTAGTGATTTTCTGCATGGAGGTAGCCTGTCGGGCTAGTAAAAATTATACCTACACACGCAATACATGAAAAGCACAACCTGTATTTTCACTCGTTTTTGTTATCAAATTCCCAACCAGTGAAAACTTTTCTGACAACATGCTCCTACTCTCAATAAATCTCCATAATCTTATCTGTTTTGCAGCTGACCTGACCTGACTTATTTACTTCTAAAAACGATCGTTTTTTCCTAACCCAAATTTCCTCTATTCTTTTATTTATGGTAAATACATGCAGATATCTCATTAAATTATTTACGATCACTCAATCAACTGAAAGATAAGTGTTTTATGACTCACATAAAATATATTTATAGTGTATTTAATGGTTTAAGATGAGAACAAAATGAATTAAATTTCATTCTAAATGAGCTAGTGCAATGTTCAGAAAAAGGAAAGATTCATTTTTATCTTCTTTCATTATAATTTATACATGATTTAATTTCATAGTGAGAATTAAACTTTAATTTTAAAAAGAATGACCTCAGTACCCTGACTTTTTCAACAATTAATATCTTTTCAACGTATAGTTTTTTATTTTAATTTTTGCCCCTATATTTGGGCTAGTAACTTTTCACTTGGGGCTAGTAACTTTATAGCTGCCACTAGCCCGTGGGCTAGTTATTGATTTTTTTAATTGCACACCCCTGCTGTGGTTACTAAAATAGAAATTTCTGTGAAATTCTTTCAAAATGCTATGTCTCCTACAGTTTTGGTCTTATTTCAATATAACTTGGCACACAAGTAGACTACACTAAGATACATAATTATGCATATCGGTTTTTGATTTTGATGAACATTATTGCCTTGGTTACTAAAAATAGAAATTTCTGTTAAATACTCTCAAAATGCTACTCCAAATACAGTTTTAGTCTGATTATAATATAATGTGGCATGCAAGTAGACTACACTAAGAACATAAAGAGACTTAATCAAGGATCATTTATTGCTGTTGTAAAGTTTCAATTCCCAACTGCTTAAGTACTTTTCTCTTCCTTTGCTATAAGTACAAACCAGTAGACCTTCAGTCTCGACAGAGACTTCTGGTTACTATAAAATTTATCAAGTTCAGGTGTGCTCTGAGAACAATATTTACATATTTTATTGATATTATCATTCTACACATTATTTAAGGATGTTTTTGTGAGTTATTGGTGTGTGAATCACACAGACTTGACAGGTAGGCATATTTCATGAAGCGTGCTAGCGCTTCATAAAAAATATGCCTATACGTGCAAGTCTGTGTGATTCACACACCAATAGTTCATACTTAACTTAAAAACATTCCTTATATTTACAATTTACATGTTTGGAAGTAACTAAAATGTTATCAGTATTTGAATTTCTCCCTGCCCAATTTACTAACGTCGCTGCAGCCTCATTGTGACGTCATGTTAACGCACGTTTCTCTGTGTATATTTATACGCGTGAATATACTCGAAAATGTTATTCAAATCAATTTCACTGTTGGCTTTGAAGAAAAACACATTGAATGTAAATATATCCAAAAAAATATTGAGCATGAGCAGACATGCGCTTGGTGACTTTTGCTTAATGTACACCATTTTCTGTAGAAATCATGCAAATTTTGAACATGTGTCAATTTCCTGACGTCACGGTTCATAAAATATTAAGTGCTTTGAAGTCTGCAGATATCCCCTTTGTTTAAAACATTATTATATATTTCTCCATCAAAGTTTGATTTTTGGGCGTAAATGTTGGCCATTACCACATAAAGTTCTTTCTCATGGTGATTAAGTAGGAATTAAAATTTTGAAATCAGAAGAAAGTAGG